CTGCCATTGCGGGCGAGCCGTCTTGATGGCTTGGAAGGCTTTCTCTGAGAGAGGTGTTCTCCCCGGCCCCGCCCAGGCCGGCCTTTCTGACGGAGCGCGTCCCCGGAGAGCTTGCATTTGTGTGTCTGAAGCTCTCAAGTGTACTTTCCGTGGGGGTGCCCTTGAGGAAAGCTGGGCAGGGCAGGGGGGCCCGAGGTCACACGAGGGGCTGTGAACACAAGACAGTTGGCTCTCCATCATGGAGACTTGGGGCTGGACTGCGTGTTCTCTCACATACTCGGTGGAACTTGTCTTGCTTATGAAGCTTTCATACCAACATGTAAAAGTAAAAATGTTGCCCCGGTTAGGGCAGGGGTTCTTCCGAGTGGGAGGGAAGCACGTGGGGGGTGGGCACGCTGTTGGCAGCATGGAGACCTGGGTTCCGGTCCGCGCCACCGCGGGCTGGCCCTTCCCCGGGTACCCGCTGGTAGGAGCCCCACGCAGATCCTGCCAGGCCAAGGGTGTCTGATGTGCCTCTACCTCGCACGGCCATCTTTATGGGGGTGGGGGCGTGACTCGCCCCAGCGGGCGAGGGAGGGGCGCTCCGTGAGGCCTGACGTCACGCCGCTGGTGTGGGATGCCGTCGTGGCGCGTGGCTGCCTAACAAAACCCCACGTCAGTCGGACGGGAGCTTGTGTTTTCCAGCGGCCTCAGGCGCTAGACGTCTCCGCCACACCGGGACACGCATCGAAACGAGCCAGGTGTCCTGTTCCCCTCGACGCCAAAGCGCTTTGCACAGGACAGCCGTCTGGTGTGTGTGACTTCAGTCTTCCGAGAGTCGGAAATTTTCCTCCCTGTGAACGGAAGATCATTGGTGATCCGGTTTACACAGTCGCAGCGAGGACAGAGCCGTCCAAAAAGTTTTTAAAAATCAGCCCATCCATAAAGCGTCGCTACATCGGGAATGCGCCCATGCAAGGTGCTTTCGCTAAGAACCTGAGTGGCTGCATCTCGGAAACGTGCAGCTTCCGTCCTTGCCCTTCCCCACAGGGACCGAAAGAAGCCGACGCACTTGTGTGTCTCACGGACGTCAGGGGCCGCCGTGCACAGTGCACGGAAGAAACGTTGGCCCGTGAGGCTGGGAAGGAGGTGGCCCATGCTCTGTCGTCCTCCGGAGAGGCGCTCACGGTGCGGCCACAGTGCAGTAACGGGAGAGCGATGGCCTGTGTGTGCTCAGGGCGACCTACAGGGGGCGACCGCAGGGCTGGGGACCAACGGCCCGGTGACGAGGACCCGGAGGGGCAGACATGGAGCAAAACAGAGACCCAGTGACGTGAGCCTGGTGACCTCATGGGGCTCGTGACGAGCTGATGGGATCTGGACAGAAAACCGGCACCTCCCAGGCGTGACGTCCACACTCAGGCACGGGGTGGCTGTCTCCCTGCCGAGATCGTCAGGGCAGGTTTGGACGACCGCGGGTGGACAGGATTTCGGGAGCATGTGAGAGGGAAAGAGACACACACACACACGTAAACTTTTGTTTGCTTCGCTTTGGTTCCTGTCCTGTTTACCGTGGCTTCTCCTCTGGGTTCGCTGAACTCTTTGGTCCCAGAGCAGAGCGCTCGCCTCCACGTTTCCGCAGTCGCGGCTGGTCCAGTGAGAGCAGCGAGGCCAGGGTTAGGCAGTGCAGGCCGCCGCCCCCGACGTGTCCGCGCCGGGGGGGTCTCGGGGAGCCGGGCGTGGAGCCCGCTTGCATTGCCAGCCCTTCAAATGGAGCGGCACAGGCAGGTGGCTCCTTGGTAGCATGTCATTAGCACGTTCTGCATGAGCATGAACAGGCACCTGACTTGAATACTAATTTCCGGGGTCCTGGATGCAGCTCCTTTGTGACATTTGCCTGTGTGGCCTGGCTCGGCTGGGTGCGCGCCCCGGAGCCTGCGCGGGGAGCCGCTGAGTTGCTTTTGCTGCCCGTCCTAAGTCATCTTATTTTTTGGCTTTTGCTTTCTCTGAATCTTGTCATCACCCTTGACTTTTTCCTTGGGGATGGGGGAAATACACACACACACACATACACACACGTATGTTTTACTTATTAACTGCATTTATTGGGGTATATGGATAATAAAATTGTATCAGTGTCAGGTGTCCAGTTCTATCATATGTCATTTGTATGTTGTATTGTGTGTTCACCCCCTTAAGTCAACTCACATTTCATCACCATTTATCCCCACCCCCCGTCCCCTGCTTCTCTTTGGTAATCACCACGCTGGGTGTTTGGGGGGGGGGGGTTGTTTTGTTTTGTTTTTTTTGCTTCATCCCTTCACATTTTTCAGCCAAATCCCAAACATTGTCCCCTTGGACAGCTGCCAGCCTGTTCCGTGCATCTGAGTCTGTTTCTATTTTGTTAGTGCATTCTGTTGATGGGAGTCCACATATGCGTGGATCATATGGTGCTTGTCTTCCTCTGACGGACTTCTTTTACTGAGCACACTGCGCTCCAGGACCCCCCGCGCCGCCGCAGAGCGTGAGATTTCCTTCTCTTTCTACAGGGTCGCGGCGTCTCCCGTGGCGCAACTGCACCACGGCTTTTTGATCCTCTCATCTACAGATGGGCACTCGGGCTGCTTCCTGGGATCTTGGTGATTGTAAACAACACTGCAGTGAACATAGACGTGTGCGTGTTTATATATACACACGCATGCACAGATACACACATACAACACAGACACAACATGTGACACAGACACAGACTACGTACAGAGCAGTCACTGGGAACCTCGCAGAACACGACCGCAGCAGAACCCCCAAGTCCCACGATGGCTTCTTTTTTGGGTGACCCTGATTTCCTGGATTCTTATCCCCTGGGACCACAAAAACCAGTTACCGGTTTGAGGGCTTTGCGGGGACGTGAAGAAAAAAATAGAAGGTGGGGGCAGAGTTGGTCCCGAAATTGCTGCGTGTGAGGGAATGTCACTAAGGAGGTGTGGGGCTGGAGCGCCGGGACGTGCACCTCGAGAATGAGCCGTTACTGCCAGCACGCACCCCCTGGGGACCAGCATGCCACCCCCTGGGGACCAGCAGGCCCTCGTGTCCTGCACAGGGTGCCCGTGACTGCGCCAGGAAGGAGCCCGCCCTGGGCAGCAGTTGTTGGGCTCTGGGTTATTCTTTACTTCCCAGTGGGGCTTTGCTGCCGCAGGCGAGTCGCCTCCCCCACCCGGCCAGGTCTCCCAGTCTCTCCCCTGAAGGGCACATTGCCTGTAGACCTCCTTTTTAATTCACGCATCCAACAGTGGCTGCAGGCGGCCAGAGGCGCTAAGATTTGACCAGTAAATTGTCGCTGATTTCATTCTGCATATCTGTGGTGTGGTGGGTACTTATGAAATGGCAGGCACCAGGTGGTTTTCTCGGGGGAGGGGAGCAAGAGTGTTTTTAGCAGAAGAAAAAAAAAAAAAGAGGTTCCAGTGTCCGTCGCGTCTTTGGAGTGAGGTATCGGGCAGGCGTTGCTGAGTCGTCGTGAGCTCGGTTTTACTGCCTGGGGAGGCTCCGCGCCTTCGGAGGAGGGGGCCGCAGGGCCTTGCTGCGCCTCCATGGTGTGCTGGCCGCAGGGCTGTGCGTTTTCTCTAAGCCACTTGCTGCTATGCGCAACTTATTTCGGTAACTTTTAGTTTGTCTTCGTGTGTGCCTAAAACACATTTTTTAAAATCTAGTATTTTCTGAAGCTCATAGACTTGCCCCTTTTGTCATGGCATGTTTTCTAAGGAGACGTGGGATCGTCCGTTTCCTGGAAGCAGGGGGCCACGCCTGTTCTCCGGGGGCCCCAGCGGGACGTGAGATGTGCTGTCGTCTGTGAGAGGCTGAGGAATCCCAGCGCCTGGCTTGGGGCACGGTCCTGTGCCGGTCCTGGGATAGCGCCGGGCGGGGAGAGCAGCCCCTGCTGGCTGACGAGGGGCAGTGGATGGCCTCGGGCGTGATGTCTGGCTTCTGCTCTCGAGTATCCCCTGAACCTCACGGGGACTTTTCTCCTGAGGACATTGCAAGAGGGACAGCGACCGGGCACTTACCTGACAGGCCGTGCTGTGGCCTAGTTGGGACACCTGTCCCGCCCAGGCCAGGAGGCGTGTCCCAGGCGGCAGGCTCACCGCTGGGCCACAAGAGGGCGCCTGTGGTCAGGGCAACGTGTCCCAGCCTGGTGGTGCGTTACGCCCTGGTTCTCTGTCTGCTGCGGTGCCTAAGATGTCTTTTAACAACTCAGCTCGCCTTCCGGACGGAAAACCCTTCTTGCCTTTATTGGGATAGTTGGTCAGAGGCCTATTTTATTGCTCTGTCACATTGCAAGAGGCAGAATGTTGGCAAATGTGTAGCCAGCTGATTGGTTGAAAATTTCATAGCTGTTAGGCTGCGACCTTCAGCTTTGGCAGAGATAAGCATGTGGGTGAAGCATGCATGCATGCATATGTGCCTATCATGGAAAGACAGAAGCGGGTCATGGATATGGAAATGGGTAAGAATATGAAAATATCATTAAGTCATTGAAGGTTACAAAACCAATTCTTTTTTCATTTTTGCTAATACACTACTGATTTTAATGCTTTTATCAACACATTAATTTGCAGCCTACCTTAGAAAGTCCTTTCCCTTTGCATATGGCAATTTCTTGAAATAAACCACCCAAAAACCTTGTTGCAACGTGAAATAAAGATTTCTGAATAGAGCTGTGTCTGCGAATTTTCACAAACATTGTTTTCTGTTTTCTAAAAGGTTTGTGTAAATGGCGGTCTTTGCCCCCAAATGCAGTTTGTGTGTCCATGCACGTGTGTCTGCATCTAACATGGGTGTGTGTGTTTTTCATACCTCACATCCAGTTGCAGGACGTGCCAACATGCGGCCGGAGGGTGCCCAGCGTGTGACCTTGTATTGATTGGGAGGTGCCGTAGGGGCGGGGGCGTGGGAGTGCCCACGGGTTTAATTCCTCACAGTGCTTTTGGGACTTGGGTGCTCACCTGTGTTCGTTCTCCCTCTAGACAAGCAGATGCCCAGTGCCCCGAAGGTAGCCCAGCAGCACAGCGGGACCCACGGCACCCGGCCCAGGGCCCGGGGGCGTCTCACGCCCCAGAAGCTCCAGAGGTGCCCCACGGGGGCCGCAGCAGAGCCGGGACCCTACCGTGCGATTACAGATACTCAGAGAACCACACGCCTGCACACCCGCCGCTGCCGCCGCCGCCGCCGCCGCCACTGGGCCCAGGAGCCCCAGCGCAGAGCGGCCCCTCGGCCCCACACGTTCGAGGGCCGGAGCCGCGGCCTGTGAGTGCCACACCCCTCGGTAAAAGACCTGTGCCGCAGAGGCCACCGCCACCAAAGCGCGAGCCCAGGCATTTCAGGGGACCAGCCAGTGCCGCCCTCCCAGGCACACCTGCAGCCATTCACTTGAGCGCACCTGCAGCTGGTCACCTCGCTGCACCTGTGGGCACACCTGCGGCCATTCACCTGCGTGCACCTGCGGGCACACCTGTGGCCAATCACCTGGCTGCGACTGGCCGGCCCCTTCCCCAGCCATCACCTGAGGCCCTAGAGGTGTGCGTGGACCGCCTGTCCCTCTCCCGCAGCCCCCGAGCCTCGGCGGAGAGACCGAGCGGCGCCCAGCTCGCAGACGCCCCTCAGGCCCCCGGGGAGCAGGGCGAACAGCATGTAGAGGAGCGTCCAGCCTGTCCTCCGCGGGAAGCCCTGCTCCCTTCCAAGGTCCGGCCCCCGCAGACGTCTGCCATGGAGACCTCTCGTTCCCCTTCTCCTCAGTTCGCCCCCCAGAAGCTGACGGACAAACCTCCCCTGCTCATCCAGGACGACAGCTCAACCAGGTACCGTCCTGGGCGGTGGGTGCGTGGAGCCTCACATCTGCCCCAGACGCTGGGTTTCCGGGTGGCCCCGGGGACTGACGTGGAGGCAAACCACGGCAGCAGTGGCTCGAACATCTTGGGGACCTGCCCTGCCCCGCACGGCTGTGAAGGGGGTCATAAACCCTCCCGCGTCCCCTTCACTCAAGCCTCCAATCCTGTGTCTGCAGTAGCCCCAGGCCTCTACAGAGCAAGGTTGTGTCTCTTTGAGCATTTGATGTTCGTAATCAGAATCTGTTGTCACAAAACCGGTGTGTTTCGTACTGTCCGATCCTTCCATGCTCCCTTTTGTCTGGACCTTTTCATGGGAGAAAGCTAAGCTGGCAGCCGCCTTGGCTGAAAGCAGGAGAGACATTGCTTTCATTGCCTGGCACTGGTGCCAGAATTTCAGGCACACCGTTGTCGGCAGTGCCCGTGGAGATCCTGGTAAATGCCGGATGTGGGGGGTGGGGGCAGGACCAGCCAGTCCAGGGCTCTGACCATTGACGTTTTGACCCCTCCTGTCGGCGTGCCTTTCAAGAAGTGAGAAATGGAAGAAGTGGAGAGTTTCCGCCTCATTCTGAACTGAGTGGGGGAAGGATTTGGGTCCCTGGGGTTTGACCTGTCCTGGGGTGTCTTCCTGAAGCCTGTTTCTGGGTGTGGCCACGTGGGCGAGCGGGAGCCAGGAGGGCCGCTGGGGTCCTTTGGGCAGGAAGGTTGCCGTCAGTCACCTCGAGCGTTGTGTTGGATGAGTCTCCTGAGTGGGTCGTGCAGCGTGCCGGAGCCGGAGTGGCGGGCGGGCAGGCAGGCCGGCCAGCCGGCCGGCACCGGGAGGGCCTGTGTGCACCACGGAGCGGGATGCACCATGTGATGCGGAGGCTGGCCTCTGGGCGGCAGGGGGCTTACCTGCAGGGAGTGCCCTCTGAGAGCCGCTGAGTCCTGCGGAGGCCGCTGGGCTCCGCCCTTCCCGGTGCCTTTCGGTCAGGATTTGATGAACTCTGCTGGCGTGCGGTAAGGCCCCCTCCTCCTCCTCTGTTCATTTCAAAGCGTACGTTTCTTAAACCCTTTGTGTGGCAGTCGGGACAGTTTTCCGTGCTTACAAATGACCAGGGGCAGGCGCTTTGTTGGGAAGTCGGTCCGCCTGTGGCCGTCCTCTCTGCCTTGCGTGTTCCCCCGGGACTTGGTCCTTCGTTGGAAGTCGCGTTGGTGCGCCTATGCGGAAAGGAGCAGGCAGGCTGAGGAGGTCGTAACGGGCAGTCAGCCTCAGGACCCGTGGAGTGAGAGGAGGGAAGAGGGGCTCTTGTTTGTTGTCGCTTGGGTAACGTGCCAGAATCGTCCCTCTAAAGTTGAGCAAAGCTAAATGGTGTTTTCTGCATTGTTAGCCTTTCTTTTTTCTTTTTCAATTCTCACCCAAGGGTATGTTTATTGATTTTAGAGGGCGGGGGAGCAAAACAGCCATCGGTTGCCTCCTGCACGTGCCCCAACCAGGGATTGAACCCGCAACCTGTGTGCGCTCACTGGGGATTGCCTTTTGGTGCATGGGTGGATTCTCGAACCAACTGAGCCACCCAGCCAGGACTGCCACATTAGGCTTTTAAAATTTGTTCAGGAAAGTGGTGTTAAAAGGACAGTATATGAAGACCTGTATTAAACACGTCTGCTATTAATGGTGTCCAAGGCAGAAGAAGAGAATACAGTTGTTCCATTTCAGCGTGCACACCACTCCCTTATAAATAAATGCACACAGATGCATCCGCGAGGTAAAGGGTGAGAACAGCATTGACTTTATAGCCTCGGGCGCCCCCTTGTGCTCGATAAAACTAGGGCTGTCAGGGTCACGTGGTAGAAGTGAGGTGCAGCGCACTGAACTAGAACGAGATTGGGAGGTTAGGTTGTGGTTTTGGCTTGTTCCCCCCCTCCCCCGCTGCTTCTTTCCCGGGAACCACTAGAGGGCTCTCTGTCTCCATTAGCTCCTTTACAAAGACTGGGAGCAGCTTTTCGTCCCGGTGACTGGCCTCTGTGGGGCTTCCTGGGGTGTGTGGTCCCACGAGGTGCGGCTGGGGACGCCAGCTGCCACTCGGGGTGTCCCGGAACGCAGCCCTGTTCTATGGGCCACACTCTTTATTTCTGTTTTCTCTTTCCTGTGGGTGTTCCAGGTACCTCTCCAGCTTTTCTAATAAGACACTTTTTTCTTTTCTTTGTTTTTTTTTTTTTAAGGAAAAGTGTAGCCCTGGAAGGATGGCTCAGTTGGTTGGAGCGCCCTCCCAGGCAACAGGGTTGCAGGTTCTTTTCCCATCAGGGCACATACCTAGGCTGTGGGTTCGATCCCCGGTCAGGGTGTGTATGGGAGGAAACCGACTGCTCTCTCTCTCTCTCTCTCTCTCTCTCTCATTTCCTCCCTCTACAATCAGTAAACACATCCTTGGGTGAGGATTCCAAAAAAAGGGGAAAATGTGTGCTTAGTGAATGATTTCAGAAAACCCAGAAGCCGCATGCCCATCCCATGTTTCCTGCAAGGCCCTTACCGGACGGGTACGCCACGCCGTGCCCGGAGCAGCCTCGGGTGTTGGGCAGGGGCATGTGGCATGCAGGTGGAGGGGCACCCTCCAGCCTCTCTCCTCTCGGGCGGGGTCCGGCCCGGGCGCACTCAGCTGCTGGCTCTTCTCTCGGCAGGATCGAGCGTCTGATTGACAACACCACGGTGAAGATGGTGCCCATCAAGATAGTGCACTCGGAGAGCCAGCCCGAGAAGGAGAGCCGCCAGGGCCTGGCCCGCGCCGCCACCGCCGAGCCGCCCGCGCTGCCCAGCGGGCTGGAGCGGGACCAGATCAAGACACTGAGCACGTCGGAGCAGTCCTACTCGCGCTTCTGCCTGTACAGCCGCCCGGGCCCTGAGCCCGAACCCCGCGCCCAGCCTCCTGGCCCGTCCGGGGTGCCCGACGGCCGGGCCTCCCCGCCCGCCCTCAGCTACGTGAAGGCCAGGGAGCGCACGGCCGAGGACCTGAAGTCGGAGGAGCTGGCCCGGGAGATCGTGGGGAAGGATAAGTCTCTGGCCGACATCCTGGACCCCAGCGTGAAGATCAAGACCACCCGGGACCTCATGGAGGGCATCTTCCCTACCGATGAGCACCTCCTGGAGGAAGCTCAGCAGCGCAGGAAGCTGCTCCCCAAAGTCCCCTCGCCCAGGACTGCAGAGGAGAAGTGAGTAGGCGCCGCCCTCCCTACCACGTCGGGCTGTGCCGTCCCGCCGGCACCTGTTCGGCTTAAGAGGGCGAGGGGAGGCCAAGGTGTCTGTGTATTTTCCTGGTTGGTTTTGTGGGGGACGGGTGTTCCTAAGGACGAGCCCGATGCGTCGCCCGTTTTATCTGCCTGTGACCCTCCTGAAAGAGCAGGGCAGGCCTTTGGGACCCCATTCCGGGGCATGATGACTTTTGGGGTGTGGCGCAGACAAGATGCCTTGCAGGGTCTGGGCTTTCTCGGCTCGAGGCCGGGGCAGTTTTCCCCGGTGCCCGCGGGGCGCCTTTCTCCGAGCACAGCGGTTCTCCGCGGGGTCGCGGTCTTCCTCCAGGGGACGGGTGGCGATGTCTGGATACATGTTTCCTTGTCCCTGGGGGGAGACCCGGGAGGCTGCTAAACATCGCTGCCACAGAGCGACCTTCCTCAGTGGCACAGTGCAGACGCTGGGGCACCTGTCCCAGGAGGAGCAGAGGCACACACTTGGGCAGACATGCTTATCAGAGAGCGGAGGCAGCTGCGTGTGCATCGGGGGAGGGCACTAGTGTTCGTTGGCTTTGCGCACACCACTCTCAGCCCCTCATGCAGTCGTTTGCCCTCAGAGGTGCACGTGGGCCCGTCTGTACTTGAGGGACGTTCACCGTCTCCTCGCGACAGTGGCCTGGAGTCCCAGGGCAGAGCAGCCGACGAGACACAGAGCAGGAGAGAGCCAATGGGGCCACTCATAGAAGGGTGCAGCGTGCGTGCTCACAGATGGCGGCCCTCGCGCTGTGCTTGTGGGCCTCGGATGCTGCGGGGGAAAACCATCTGTCTGTCCTCTTCCCTTCCATGCGCAGATGTGTACACATCCTGGCTGATGGCGTTTCCCTGCTCTTAACTATGTGCCTGCCCTGCCTGGTGTGGCTCAGTGGACTGAGCGCCGGCCTGCAAACCAAAGGGTCGCTAGTTCGGTTCCCAGTCAGGGCACAGGCCTGGGTTGTGCACCAGGTCCCCAGCAGGGGGCAGTCGAGAGGCAACCACACATCGGTGTGTGGGTTTTTTTTCCCCTTTCCTCCTCCCTCCGTTCCCCTCTCGAAAACTAAGTAAATGAAATCTTAAAAAAAGAAACCATATGCCTTAGATTGGAGGAGCACCCGCCTGGCCAGGTATGTGTAGTTCCAATCTTGCCACCTGCTTCCTGTTTTGGCTGTGTCACTGCTGTGGTGGGTGTCCATCCATGGTGGCCCAGGTTGCTGGGCGGGCGGCGGGTCTGAGCGAAGGATCGCGGCTAACTGGCGCGCTGACGTTTTTACCCAGGAGAGAAGAGCCGAGCGGGCCGGCGGCTGTGTTCCTGGCCACCAATTCCACCTACTACAGCACGTCGGCCCCCAAGGCGGAGCTGCTGATTAAGATGAAGGATCTGCAAGAGCAGCAGGAGCCCGAAGAGGATTCGGGGAGTGACTTGGACCATGACCTGTCTGTGAAGAAGGTAGAAAAGGGGAACCCCAAACGGGAACGCGCTCGGAGGCAGGCAGGGGGCCAGGGGTGGGCTGGCAGGCACCTCCACCGCCTGCACAGGCCCTGCGCCGTGTGCAGGGGGCGTCTGGGCTTGGCTTGTGGGCGGGGCGATCCCAGCAGGCCAGTCGTGTTAAGCCCTTGTGCCTCGTCTTCCGCTACAAAACCAGTCCTTCCCACCAGGGTCTCTTTGGTATCCTGACGAGATGAGATCCAGTGGCGAATTGGGCCTTGGCTCCGTCGGTTAAAGCATTGTCCCATGGGCCAAAAGGTTGGGAGCTCGATTCCCGATCAGGGCGCGTGCCTCGTTTGCAGGCTCGGTCCCTGGTCGGGGAGCCTACAAGAGGCAGCCAGTCAGTGTTGCTCTGTTACGTGGATGTGTGTCTGTCTGTCGGTCTGTCTCCCTCCACCACCACCAGCGCTCTCTCTAAAAGCAATGAAAAAGTGTCCTTGGGTGAGGATTTAAACAAAAACTAACTAAGTAGACCCCTTTCTCCTCCATTTTAAGTTCATCTGCTGGGTCCCTTGTAACCTGATTGAAATCCAGGGAAATAACTGTGCCCTTCGGAGAGTCACGCGCCCTCCTTGAACACCAAGTTCAAATATCTGTAACCAGAGGACCCTGGCCCTGGCAGTGGAATGTAAAGTGCGTGCCTCACCAAAAAGCGTCATTTGATCAACCCCCAGAAGCCCCCAGACACTTGGGGGTGTGGCGGTAGAAAAAAACAGTACTGAGCCCTTCCTTCAGGTAGGTGGACACAGCCAACACGTACACGAAGAAACACAGGCCCTGGCCGGGAGCTCAGTGGGTTAGACTGTCATCCTGCAGTGCCAGAGTTGCAGGTTTGATTCCCAGTCAGGGCACATCCACGAACCAGTCAGTGAGTGCAGGAATAAACGGAGCAATATATCGATGTTTCTTTCTCCTCTCCTCTCTCTAAAGTCAATCAGTTAAAAGAAACTTTTAAAGAAATGTCCAACATGAGGTCAGTCAACCCGGCCCACCACCTGCTTCGTACATGAACCTGCACTGAAACACAGCCGTGCGCCTTCATGTGCATCTGGTCGGGTGGCTTTTGAAGCAGAGCGGCAGAGTTGAATCGTTGGCCTGTAAAGTCTAGAATATCTACCCTCTGGCCCTTTACAGAGAGTTTGCCAGCTGTTGATGGGTCAGGCGGTGAGCAAACTGAAACAGGGTGAAGGACGAGAAGGAGACACAGCCGCGGGAGCGTAGAAGGGCGCAGATGAGGCGCTCGTTGCGCAGGATCCTGCGGGAATGGAGGGGCGGCCCTCTGGGGGTCTGCCCGTGCCAGGGAGGAGGACCGGCAAGTGCACAGGGCCTGGGGTGGGGCCTCGTGGGGTGTCGGAGAAGCAGCCGAGACCAGCGGGCAGAGCGGAGGAGACAGGGAGCGGGGATGGGAGGTGAGGTCAAGGAGTCCATAGCTGGTGGCCTTGTGGTCACGCTACACACAGCACTGTTGGCATCTGGGCCAACGCCACGACCACTGTATTAATTAGCTTTAAATCTTCACGGCTTGTCCGCACACCTGACCTGTGACGTCTAGGCAACTACCTGTGTTTTACCGGAAGGACTTAGCACACGGGGGTGAAGAAATTGCCCACGCACATGACTCTCCAAGAAGAGCATGTGCCGTATTTTGCTGTGTATAACATGCACCCACGTTTTTGGCCCAAACTTTCGGGGCGGGGTGGGGGAATCTTTCATTTTAATTTTTTAAGTCAATTACTTATTTACTTATTATATAGGTCCTTTCTTTTTTGGTATTATAAAGGAATTTTAATGTTTGTTTTGGAACATACAGATACCGTTATTGCTTTCTAGAGTTACACTTTTAACACATTAAGTATAAATAAAAGAATTAAAAACATTTATAGAGCCACAAAATTAGTACTACCCCTGGATAATGTGCATCCTTATTTCCCCCCCCCTCAAAAATTGGGTAAAAAAGACCTGCATTATACACAGCAAAATATGGTACTTACTCTTCATTCCAGGCACCTTTCGTGAAGCATAGTCACTACATGGAGGAAAAAAGGAGGGAACGGCATTCTGTGACTGTTCTCCCTACGCCTTCAAAAGGCCTTTCATAAAAAATACTGATTGATTTTTTTGACAAGGCCTTTGCAAAGGGTTATGGTGAAAGTCCGCGGGTATCGTAGGTGGTTCAGACGCACCACGGAGTGCTTGCAAATGAGAGAGGCCGGCGCTGTCCGAGGGAAATGCTGTGGACCGCACGGAAAACAAAATTGCTTTTAATCTAGGAAACAGTAGCTCTTTGGCACAAGGCAGTAAAAAAGAAGAGTTTCTTTCAGGTGCCTTGGCCGGGCCGAGTGGCTCCGGGACCCTTTTGTCTCGTTCCGGTGCACTCTGGGGCGAAGTCGCCCACTGTTCTCTTTTGGAGCCATTCCTGTCCTTTTTCTCGACCACGATGACGGAGGAGGCGGGTCAAATCAGACCGTACGGTGCTGCTTCACGTTGGCGTGATGGCTGATTTAAAGGTCTTAGACATTTTAGTTTTTATTTTTGCTCTTTGAAAGTTAATCACATAAAAGCCTGGCAGGAAGGGAGGAGGAGGAGTGAGTGTTTAAAGGTCCGAGTGCGTGTTTGGGAGGATGAAAAATTTCTCGAGGTGGACGGTGGTGGTGGTGTTTACGTGAACGTACATAATGCCCCTTTTTAAAAGTGGGTAAGATGGCAAGTTTTATGTTATATCTATTTTACCACATGAAAAAATCAGTCCGTTATTTGTATTTTTGGTCACGTTGGAACCAGATTATTCTAAAAGACTTTTAAGTTCATTGATGTCCCTTTATATTTATTTCTGAATCACCCAAAGATGGGTTTATTGATATTTCTTTTTTAGACAGAATGGGAGAGAGGATATGTTTATTGATTCTTTTTTAGAGAAAGAGAGGGAGAGAAACATCGATGTGAGAGAGAAAGATCCATCTGTTGCCTCCTGTACACACCCCGACTGGGAATTGAACCTGCAACCTTTTTTGGTGTACAGGACGATGCTCCAACAAAGTGAGCCACGTGTCTAGGGCTTGTCTCGATTTTTAATTGCTAGTCGCAGGTAGAGGATACTTTTTAATAATGGGATTCCGTCCTGGACGTAAGTCTCAATCCCCTCTATCCGTGTAAACCTTGAAATTGGAACTCCCAGAATAGGAAGCACAGAGTTTCACACAGATCCTGAGAATTTCTGCCAAGATTCAGGCTGGAATGAGGTTTTTAGTGTGAATAACCCAGAGGGATCAACTTCTCTCTAAGCTGATACCACGTGGAGAGGACGAGAAGAGGTTGATTTTATTTCTAAGTTAAGCGGTGGTGATTTCACGGCAGTCATGATCCTCCCCTGCTCTTTACCCCGCCTGTGATGTGATGCTGCGGAAGCCCCTGCGTGGGGGCCCCCTCCTCCCGCAGCAGCTAGAGGGCGGGGTGCGGCGCCCCTGAAGTGTGTGCCTGTGCCCTGTGCCCCGCAGCAGGAGCTCATCGACAGCATCAGCCGCAAGCTGCAGGTGCTGCGGGAAGCCCGCGAGACGCTGCTGGAGGACATCCAGGCCAACAACGCGCTCGGGGACGAGGTGGAGGCCCTGGCCAAGGGCGTGTGCAAGCCCAACGAGTTCGACAAGTTCCGGATGTTCATCGGGGACCTGGACAAAGTGGTGAACCTCCTGCTGTCCCTGTCCGGTCGCCTGGCCCGGGTGGAGAACGCCCTCAACAACTTGGACGACAGCACGTCTCCTGGCGATCGGGTACGTGTGACCGCGGCGGATCCGGAGGGCGGGGCGGGGCGGGGGCCGGCCTGGGACGGCCGTCCTGGAGGTGTTGCGGGATGCCCGGACGCCGCGCACAGCAGCCTGCGCCCCTCGTAGTGCAGGGTGCGATTGGAACGGGGCGGGCCCGCTCCTCCTGGGATAGAGAGGGCCCGCGGTCCTCCCCTCACGGCATCCCTCCGTGCACACGGGCTGTCGTCCGCGAAGCCGTGTCCCACGGCCTCCCTCGCACCTCCCCCTGCCACATGGGGGCGCCTGTCGGTGGCCAGGTCTCCGATGTGGCCGGGATCCCACGAGCCCCTCCGTGTGGGCTTGGCCGCCCGGGTTTTCAGGGACAGACGGGCCAACGAGTTAGGAGACGCGGAGTGAGGTTTTAGAACGCTTTCTCCTTGTCTCCAGATAGGCAGTGAGCTCTCGGGCACACCCATGAAGTCGTCTGCATGTTGTCTGCGGCGTTTAGTCACCGGGGAGCCCACTCTGTTTTAGCCTGAACTGCATTTTTAGGATCCATTACAACCTCCTTCCTTTCGGCTTGGAGTTCATTGGCATGGCCTCTCCTCTTTCCATCTTAGTACATGGCACCTTTGTTTCGCGAGGACCTGAGGTGCAGATGTCCCTAGGGAAGGAGAGGGCGGCGCGCCGTGGCCCGGCGTGTGGTCGGGGGCACTGCCCCGAAGCTGCACGGCCGGAGCCACGTCTGTTGGCACGAGAACACCTGGCCCTCACCGGGCGCCTGCTGTGTCGGGTGCTGCGAAGCGCGCCCACCTCCTGGGCGCTGGCACGGGGCCGCGGCGAACCGTCCGCAGCCCAGCCGCAAAGTGGCCAGGTGGCAGCGAGCCTATGTACCAGCCAAGGGAAAACAGGAAAGTCACACTGAGGACAGAATTCCTAGGACTCCTCCCCGCCTCCCACCCCCACCCACCGCTGACATTGGAATTGCATCCATGGCTTCCTTTGTCTGCGCTCATGAACCTTGGGGGCCGTAGGGGACCGAGGCACGTGTTCTGTGGGCCCAGAGGGTGAGCGTGAGTGCCCCGATTTGGGAATGGGGTCGTCTGTGTGCCCAGAGCAGGACCCTTGTAAGGAGGGAGAGAATCTCCCCGCCCCCAGCAGCCCTGAGCCTGCTGTTCGGTGCCCCGCTCCCTCCTGCATCCTGACTGCAAGGCTGCCCGCAGGCGGCTTCTCCTGCCGGAGCGTTTAGAAATCCTGTCCTGGGATTTCATTACAATCTATTCCTTTTGCCACCGTAGCCTCACGGGAAGGCCCTGGACTCAGGTAGGATCCCTGCATCCTCTGCACCTTCGGTGCGTGTCTGAATTCTGTCGTTTTTAGAGTCTCGCTCACTCTTGGGCGGGCGGGGGCGGTCTCCGGTAGCCATGGGGAGCCGAGCCGGTGGGAGAGGTCCGAGAGCAGGGTGGGGCCCGGTGGGGCTGCCGCCCCCTGCGCTCGCTCTGAGCACATTCCCTGGAACTCCGTGCGGAGCCCGGCGGGGCCGCGTGGCAGCAGCCTGGGGTTGGCCCTGCTTTCACCCCGCCCTTCCCAGCCCGTGTGTCCTTCTGCCCACAGCCATCGCTGCTGGAGAAGCAGCGGGTCCTCATCCAGCAACACGAGGACGCCAAGGAGCTGAAGGAGAACTTGGACCGCAGGGAGCGCGTGGTGCTGGACATCCTGGCCAGCTACCTGAGCGACGAGAGCCTGGCGGACTACGAGTACTTCGTGAAGATGAAGGCGGCCCTCATCATCGAGCAGCGGGAGCTGGAGGACAAGATCCACCTCGGCGAGGAGCAGCTCAGGTGCTTGGTGGACAGCCTGCAGCCCGACAGGGGCAAGTGACGGGCTCGTCCCCGGCGCCTCGGCGCCGCGGTCCCCGGGGTGCCGGTGGAGCCCCGGCCTGCCTCTCCGTCCCGAGGCCGGAGCCTTCTCGTCGCGGAACGGCTGTGAGGACAGCAACGGCTCCGGCGCGGGTCTGGGCGGCTGTGTGGACGTCGCTGGTTTCCCTTGTGAAGGCTGAGCCGCGGGGCCCCCTGTCCTCCGCTCTCCTCCTCAGGGGAACAGGCGCGGCACCGGGCTGCGGGGCAGGAGACCTTGGGCTCCACGCCTGCAGCGCAGGGAAGGGGGCCTCGGCAGGGGTCCCTGGGTCCTGCCTCCTGTCGCAGCGGCTGAACCAGCCCGGCGGGAAGCAACTGAGTGGGCCCGCAGGGTGCCCAAGAGGCCACACCCCGGCCCACGTCTCCTCTTGTGACCCGTCCGCGCCATGGGCCGCCCTGTTTGACCCGCGTCCCTCCAACGGCGTTCGCATTCACTGTCTCTGTTATGTAATGATGTCCCCCGACCTAGCAAACACCGTGATGATGATGATGATAATTTATTAACGTTTTGTAAAGGTGAATGACTTCCCACATGGTTAAAAACCAACTGTGAAATGCATAACCTGTCTGCTGGGTTCCTTCATCCTAAGCTCGCAGCGGGAATTGTGAGCATGCTGTAACACACGTGCACAGAGCAGATGCCTTCAAGTTCACTGGCCCTGGCGGCACGGGGCGGATGTTTTCCTGCAGCGTGAAACGTGTGTCTGGTTGTCTTGTGCTTGCTAGATATTTGTCTCACGAGACCGATGGGATCGTTCTTAAATTCCTTGTTCCCCAGAATGCTTATTTGGTGTGCATATGGTTGTTTAGGGTAACTGCCTACTTTCCTGTTTTTGCCTCTCGAAATCGGCCAGCAGGCGGTGAAGGCTCCCATCCGCTTCCTGGAAGGACGCTGCCTCCAGCTTTCCAAGGTCCCGTTGACTGTTCCACTCAGCCACCGACTTTACAGGCTCTGTGCCCTCTTTATGGGTTGAAACGGCAAGACTCTAAGGAGAGTCTATTCCCTTTTTTTTTTTTTTTAAACGCCGTCAATGCTGTCAATTTCTAGTTGACACGTCACAGGCTGGCAGAAAATATTGGCAAATCATAGACGAGAGAAAGGAGCTATCTCCAGAATATGTAGAGAACTCTGTAAAAGGCTACTGTCAGATAAAAACAGCCCCGTGGAAAAGTGGGCAAAAGAGTTCACCAAAGAGGATCTGCCTGGCAAGTAAGCGCAGGAGAAGGATGGGGAACCGCCAACGGCTTGACTATAACGTACCGGCTTTTCCCTAAATCATTGTAGAGCCGGTGCGTGTTTTCACGGATGCCCGTGTCATCACATGCATGGCTCGTGGTGGGAGAGCCCGTCGGCTGAGTTCATAGCAAGGCCACATTTGGACATTTGCTGGAGGGAGGGATTGTGTCAGGACCCAACTGCCCTTACTGCCATAAAAGGAGTTTGCCTGCAGCAGGGGAGATGTCTCTTGGTCAGGAGGGACCACCGCCTTATCAACACGCACACTCACACGGCAAAGTCTTAGGACGCTCGTCCGTGCTCCAGGAGCCAGGGAGGGTGAGCCGGACGGCTGTGCCGATGTCCTTGTGCTGCACAGAGGGGTCCGAACGCGTGAGCTCTGCTTGCGCAGGCAATAAGCCCCTCTCGGGCAGCCGATCTGCTCCGGAAAGACAAACGCCTTTTCCCACGTCGTCATTCCTACTGAGTTGAGCTCCATGTCTTGAACAACCTGCCCGTGGAGCGGGCCTCCCTCCGCCTCCCTCCCCGGGGAGACGACCACACGTGTCTCCGTGTGTTTGGTTTTTAATTTAGACAAGTTTTATCTGTGATTCCTTCCCCTCTGCTACAGTATTGTGCTGGTTTTGATGATGTATTGGTCCAATGTGAATAACAGGATGTGTGTGTCTGTACCCCGCCGTTGATGTCTCCCGAGCACTTTCTCACATGTAGCAATATGTAGTGGTGTTCCCCTGTTTGCAGCCTCCTCTGTGTCCGGGTAGCGGGGACCCAAACATTCCAGCGAGTCCATGTATATACGTCCCATTGTATAGAGCTATGTTGTTGCCTAGAAAACCCGTCTGGTGCTACTGTTGGCCCTTGGTGTTCTCGGGGGTGGGGGGCCGGGGGCAGCCTCCCGAGCCTGTGTTACCGCTCCGCTGTTGAATGCTCTCATTTCAGGCAGGCCCAGCGCCTGCGGTTCACTGTGGAAAATGTGTACAGGTGTCACGCCCGACACGTACCTCAAAACACATCGTCCTGCTTGACTCTAACGAAATAAATAGTGTCTCAGCGTGCGTGGCACGTGTCTCTGATTTACTGACGTGACGACCGCATGGTTGAACCCTCGGAAAGCCCTCCCCAGTGGGCGGATCCCTAACCATGGAGTGAGTGTAGGATGGATGACCCGTGTGTCTCTGTGGATGTCAGTTGATACGTAAGGCCGATCTGTGCGCTGTCTGGAAGCATCAGGCACAAGGGTGACGTAGGTGACCTGTTGCCACAGGGATGCTGTGTAATGACCAGCTGTGAGGTCAGCGTCCCGGGCGAAGTGCTGCCTGAGCTTGTGAATGTGTAAGTCAGCATGTTCTGCCCCACAGGTGCCTGGCATCTGTCTCCTGGCCGGGACATGTCAGTGGCAGCTACACACGGAAACAGGACTAGGGACAGAGGTGCCTTTCAGGCCTCTGCTCCCGTCACACCGCACCTGTTGAGCTTCCATAGCCGAAGCACGTCCCCTGCCGAGCCCGAGGCCCGAAGGGGCGGGATGGGCTGAACCCGTTTCATGCAAGGAACTGTCCAGTCACATGGCCAAAGGCGGCTGCAGGGAGGAAGTAGGGGCATCCATAGCCTCCATCCTGCGCACGGGCCTGCTCGTACCGGGCGGAGGAAAGGATCCTGACCCGGAACCCAAGTTCCTGGGGCAGAGTCTCCTCCGTCCTTTGTGGCTTCGCCTTGCCAAACCTCAGTCTCCCCGTTTGTATTTGGAGAAGAGCTATGCTGAGATCTCGCAAGCTGCTATGTGAGCAGGCGCTCAGAACCAGGCCAGAAAGTGTAAGCCTGTATCCTTCCATTTCGGCATGCAGCCTGGGTTGCCCTGCCCCCGGACGCCCTGCCCTCCCGAGAGAGGGTGGCTGCCCTTGTTTCGGGGGGCGGTTAGAAGTGCTTGCTACAGAGCGTGTCTGTGGGGCCCAAAGCTTACGTGGTGGAGAGGCACGGATTCTTTTTAATAAAAATCATTCAACATTAGGGAGAAGAGTGCCTTTTTAGAATGGGAAGAAATGAATGCAAATTACATATTTAAGTAGTGGACAGAGAACACACACATTTTTGTGCTGGTTTTGGCTCAGCAAGGCCACCTGAGCTCGGCTTCTTTCAGTTCCGAAGGGATCGGCTTAGTCCCAAGGGCTGTGACGTTGGGCTGCACAGTCCTGTGGCCCCGCGTCCCATGACCCATGGACAGCGCTGTGCAGGGTGCTGTCCCCGAGCCCCTGCGTGCTCGGGCTGAGGGAGGGTCGTCTGCGCTGGGGCGTGGGCCGTCACACTTGTTTGGGACCCGCCAAGCTGGGGATGGGGGCCCGTGTAGGACGTGCAGACTCGTCGCCTGCTCCACGTTGAGTCCCGCTTGCTGTGCTGTTGCCGGTCGGGCCCGCCCCTCCCCAGCACAGAGTCCGTTTCTGCACATCCCATTGAAAGAGAGGAAACCAGGCCCCCGTGTGTTTATTCTGTTACATTCTGCGTCTTTCCCCCTACCGTCCCCGCACGCACAGGGACCTGCAGAACCGTGCCCCCGAACCCTGGCCGGCTGTGTTCTCTGCACTCTGCGACGCCTCCGCCCCACCCTGAAGTGCCGTGGCGGTTCTAGCGCCACGGAGAGAGGGCGAGGGAGAGAGGGCGAGGGAGAAGTCGGCGGGGGCGGGGGGAGACGAGACGGGATGTAGGCGAAGGCGTGACGTCACTGTCTCTGGAACGTTTCCCCAAAGCATAGGGTGGCGCCCGCACATCGCTGGCCCTGCCAGGACCTGGGAAGGACCAGGCTGCGAGTGGCCCCAGAGCTGAAGCCTGGGAGCTGCCCTGTAAACCCACGGCCAGTTTAAACCCGAGTATAAGCCTCAACCGAACAGCGTGACGCAGCCACGCTAAGAGGCGGCGTCAGCACACTTGGCGGCCCCAGGAATGAGACAGGGACCCTGGACCTAGGCGCTCCGTGCGGGGACGATCTCGCCAAGAATACATCACACAAACCCCAAGTGAGGTCAGTTCTTTAAAAACAAAAACTGGCTGGTTCTCTTGAAGGGGGCCAAGGCGATGGCAGAGAAAGCAAAGTGCAGTTCAAAATGGGAGGAAACGGAGGCGTCTGCCAGCTGTGGGACACCTGCTCCCGGCCGAGTCCCGGGCAGAAGGGCGGCACCAGGTGATGGGTGATCAGAATCAGGCCTGTGGGTCCCGCCACTGTGGCGGCCTTAACGTGTGGGTTTTAGCCATTGTCCTGGGGTCATGTACGTTCTTTCTACTTGGGAAGCCTGGGGGAAGAACGTGTGGAGGTCTTTGCGCTTTTGGCAACTTCTTTTGGATGTCTGAAATTATGTCAGAATGAAAAGTTTAAAAAAGTTTGGTTTTTTTTCTGTTTTAACGACACTTCTTTTGGCCTCTTGCAAAGAGTCCTTTCTCCAATACCGTCATAACTCTAGCGTGGTCACCTGGGATCTTCCGAGGAGCTTGAAAGCAGAGTTCCACTACGGCCTGGCTGGTGTGGCTCGTCATCCTGCAAAGCGAGAGGTCGCCGGTTCGATTCCTGGTCAGGGCCCGTGCCTGGGTTGTGGCCTTGGGTCGCCTGTCGCGGCACGTGAAGGAGGTAGCCCGCGAGGGAGGTAGCCGACTGACATTTCTCTCTAACATCAATGTTTCTCTCTCTCTCTCCCTACCTTCCCCTCGCTCTAAAAATAAATTTAAAAAATCTTTAAAAAAGAGTTCCAGTATTTTAGCAACAGGAGAATCCCGTGAAGTGTGACTCATCACATAGTGTGGGTCAGGCTTGGGCGTATTTCTAATCCCAGGGCCCGTGAGCCTGTGTGGGGCAGGTCCTCAAATGACGTTGTTTCATTATAGCGTTAATGAGATTAAACAGTCCGTGGTCTGTGCGCCGAGCTGCTGTCTTCCCCCGTCTGTGTGGGTTTTCTCTGGTCATCCCAGAGCCATGCCCGTGGCGCCATGTGCTGTGTGCCTGGTCGCAGTCATTGTGGGGGTGAGGCGCCCTGCGAAGAGAGGGCAGCTGTCCAGGGGGGTCCCGCCCGACGCCCTGAGCTGCTGCAAGGGGCTGTGGCCACCCCAGTCCTCACCTGGCATCAGGGGGTTGGAAAACCAAAAATCATTCCTGTGCTCGTATTTACTTACCTTTCTTCAATGTGCGTGGGGAGCGGCCATTTATTTCAGGGTGTCATTTAGGAGTGTTTGGGCTCTTTGTTTAGAAGTTCGGTGATATTTTTGTGACCAGAACTATGTTGTAGGAACTTTTGTCTATGTCCAGCCGGTGGCAGTTGGGGAAATGGGTTTTGTTAGACGTTCTTTTGCTCAGAGTTGCCGTTTCTGAGAACCTGTTGATGACTTACTGTATTTCTCTCCAAGGGGTTTTCAGAGCATGGGAGGGTTGCCCAGGAAACCTGCTGTGAAGAACCCCATCTTCCCCAGCTGGGTGGCTCGGTTGGTTGAAGTGTCATCCTGTGAACCGAAAGGTCATGGGTTTCATTCCTAGTCAGGGCATGAGCCTGGGTTGCGAATTCAATCCCCGGTTGGGGCACGTATGGGAGGCCACCAATTACTGTTTCTCTTCCGCATCGGCCTTCTCTCTCTGTCTCCCTCCCTTTCCCACTCTCCAAAGTCAATAAACATGTCGTCTGGTGAGGACTCTATTTTAACCTTTCCCTTCGGGGCTTCCCAAACACATTTGAGCTTGGAGCGCGCCCACCCAGCATTTACAGATTTAACACCTCAAATGCCAGCATATCTTGACAGACACGGTTCCAAGGGTGGCAAATCCTGGTGTCCACGTGGGGCCCTGGGTGTTGAGCACAAGGGGCTCCTGGCCCCGACCCAGGTGGAGGGAGGTGCCCCATGTCTGTCTGCATGTAAGACCGTGGCCTTTACACTTAACCTTGTGTACATTTTTATCCAAATACACTTCGGGCATGATAGAAAACATGCACACACACATGCTTGTGCATGTGTGTCCAGAACGAGTCATGTATTTATCCCACAGTTGTATGCCAGGCACATACTGGGCATCGCGGACTCTCTGCGTGGAGCCACCTACCGGTGACAACGCAGCCGGCATTCGACGGCCGGTCTCCTCCTGCCGCAACCCCGAGCCCTCTCCTGCAGCCCCACCTTGCCCGCTGCGTGCTGTGCGCTGCCCGCAGCCCCAGAGCAGCGCCAGCTCCCACTCGGGGCAGTGACGCCTCTCAGGCCCTGCACGGGCGCTCCGCCATGCCTCCCAGCCGTGGCTGTTTTCACTCCATCAGGTGAGGGCGCTGAGACTCCAGGGTGCGGGGCCCGGGGCCCCGCGGCCCCGCGGCCCCGCGGCCCCGCGATGCGATGCGATGCATCACGGATCTGCTCTCGCCGCCGTCTTTTGCTCTCCCCACCCCCTCCCTCCCTTCCTCCCTCCTTCGCCCTTCCTTTTTTTTTTTTTAAGAAACAGGATTATATGATATCATATTTTTGAAAGCTGCTTTTTATTAACATGGTTAAAAACTCCCCCTCCCCCCGCAAATTATTCTTCAATGTAACGCTGAACTCCTGTGTCATACATCATTATAAAGATAGAAAATGGTTTGCCGAATGGGTTCTCTAAACGGGTTTTTTAGGTTCTTTTTCTGTTTGTCCCCGTGGTAACCTCAGTTGGGAAGTTCATGGGGTTGTGTTTTTTTATGTCCCTTTCTGTACGCATCTCCATGCATTTGCTTAGAATGACTTCCTCATCCTAGAAAGTACAAGCAGAAGATGCCGGGGGAACTTGGACCCCTGTATAAAATGGAGTCCTGAGGGCGGTCTAGCTGACCCCATGGGCCTCTTTGGCAGCCTCGTTTCTTGTAAAAACCCCCTTTGCCACTGTCCCCAGGATTAGCAGGCCAGCTTGTCACCGTGTCGCGTTCTCTGACAGGCCCTCCTACCTAGCAAACGCGCACCGCGTTCCGAGAATGCGGTGACCCAAGAGTCAACCAGCAGGTCGTGCACCGCACGTGAAGGGTGCTTCTCCTCCCGTGCCGCCCGCCCCTGGTCTTGCCTCACTGCACGTCCCCCGTGGGGTGCCACTTCCGCTGACGCCTGCATGGACGCGCGGCCCTCGCGCTTTTTCAGCGGTCATGACACCCAGCTGATACGTGACAGACCATTTCTGCGGAAAGAGAGCGTGATGGGAAGACAGGGAGCAGGTCAAGCAGACCCTGAAAGGACTCCGGGGCTGTCGCTGGGCCTCCCTCTGCCCTGGAAAGCCGACAGACCAGGCCGGGGCACGGTGGAGAGCAGAAGGCAGGAGTGTGGCCATCGACCAGCGCGGCTGCTGTCATGGCCTTGGGACCTAGCAACTGAGAACCTGGAAGGTGCGGACAATGGGCGGTGGAATGCGGTAACGGGCCAGAAGGCTGCGGAGCGGTCCCCGGCGCCGTGTGCCAGGTCCGAGCCGGGGGGCTGCGGAGCGGATCTGCCCACAGCCAGGAGGCAGCGGGGAGGACCTGCCGGAGAGGTAGGGCTGGCCCCACAGGCGAGGCGCCCTCCCGCTCAGGCGCCCACCTGCTGGGAGATGGGTCCTGGGTCAGTGGCCGCCCTCGCGGTGTGTGCTGTGTGGTAAAACAGGTGTAACAAAAATGGACCATTTTTTAAAGCACGCAGGTGACTGTTATTCAGGACCTTCACAGTGATCGGCTACCGCCGTCCCCAGAACTTGCTCCTCTTCCCAAATGGAAATTCTGTCCCCATCGAATGCCCCCTCCCCAGCCCCCTCCCCGGCCCCGGGCAACCGTTGTTGCGTTCTGTCTCTCTGACTTTGGTCTGGTCACCTCACGTAGGAGGAGTGAGACCGTATTTGTCTCTGTGTTGCTGCCTTATCTCACTCCACAGAATCTCGTCCTCGTCTGCCCATGCCATGGCGTGTATGACCATTTCCTTCCTTTTCATGGCTGAATACTCCTCCCTGTGTAAACAGACCACATTTTCTGTCCCCTATATCTTTTGATGGACCGTAGGGGGAGGTCCCCGCTTCTCGGCTATTGTGAATAACGCTGCTATGAACACGGGTGTGCAAATACCTGTTTTGAGTCCCTGCTTTCGCTGCTTCTGCTGACGGTTGCCTAGTCTTGTGATTATGCAGAAACCACCGAATTGCACACGTGCAAATGCTGGCTTTCCTATGTGTGGATTGTGTGTCAATGAAGCTGTTTTGACAAAGGAAACGCAGTGCAGCAGGGGTAGAAACGTGCCCGGGTGGGCGAAAAATGCTCTGTGGGTGTCTGCGCACCACAGCAGAACAGCGTCTTGTCTTTACGATTCTCTGGGGTGGTCCTGCCCTGGAGCAAACAGTGTCACACCCACAAAATGGCTTTCCTTTCACGTCACCAGGCCTCCTTATTTCAAAATTTTCTTAAAGGATTTTAAAATGCTCGATACATGTAGCTTGCAGCTGGTATGTAAGTGACCCACAGATGTTTGGGACATCTAGATCGGCGTGACAGTACCCTTCGAAATCCGTGGAGTATTTGTTGTACACTTAGATTTTGTGCGCTTTTCTGTGTGCACGCAATTGTTCACAATGCAAATAGCTTAAAAAGTCCGTAATCCCTCTAGCCCAGTTCAAATGTCTTTCTAACTTGGCACAGAGACTTCAGCTCTCTTCATACCATGATCCTGTTATACACACGGCTTTGCAACGTGCTGTTTGTACTTGGTGTATTGTGAACACCTTCCTTTTCATCACATTATCTTTTTTAAGTTCGTATTCATTTATTTTTAGAGAGGGGGAAGGGAGGGAGAGAGAGAGTGAGAGAAACATCCATGTGCAGTTGCCTCTCTCGTGCCCCCTACTGGGGACCCGGCCAGCAACCCAGATGTGTGTCCTGGCTGGGAATCGAACCAGTGACCTTTCGGATGGCTGGAGGCACTCAATCCACTGAGCCGCACCAGCCAGGGCTGGTCACATGATGTTTTGATGGCAAAAAGAATGGTTGTAATCAAAAGCACAAAAGCTGTCCAGTGTCGGAGAACTTAGGTAGAAAACGGAGCCTGCATCCGTAGCTGGTGAGGTGGCAGAAAGCTCCTAGGGGGCAGTTCCTAGAATCATCTCAAAAGGGCCTGGGGAAACAGCGTAGCCCTTTGTTCCAAGTTACGCGCACACAGTATGATCCACGTGTCTCACTCCTAGGCACCTACCCACAACAAATGAGAACATGTCCGCTCACCTGAAATTTTTTACACAAATGGTCATCGCAGCGTTATTCGTCCGAGCCAAAAGGTAGAACTGATCCACGTGACCCAGAACCAATGAATGCATGCACTATGGTACGGCCATGCACCGGGACACTGCTCTGCAGCGTGGGTGAACCTTGACAATCTTAGGCAAAGTCAGAAGAGCCAAACACCAGACACCCCACCTTGTCTGGTTCCAGTTGTGCTTGCAGCGCCGGCATACAGCTCTGTTTTGCGGCTGTAGCATACGTCATCCAACCTGACCCTATTGTTGGACTGGGCGTAGTTTTCCATTGTTTCGATATTGCAGACAATGCTCTGATGACCATCTCTGTCAGTAAATATTTGTGGCCAATCCTACTTGTGTCCTTGCAGAAAGGCGTGTCTGAAAGTTTGTGTGTGAAGGCTTTCTGTAAATGTTGCCAAAAGGCCGTTGGCAAAGTTTGTTCCGTCCGCGCACCCGCCCCTAGAGCGGCACTTCCCCAACGTGGCACTTGGCCGCTCCCCCGGGGGGCTGTCCAGGCCTGTGGGTCCCCCCCTCATGATGCCCTGTTTTGGTTTGCAGTTCCCCTGGCGACGCGGGCCACCATGGGGTTGCACATCCCCACCGCCCGGCTCCAAATGGGGGGCTTCGCAGTGGCCACCGTGGGCTGGATATTCTGCATGACCTCCATGGGCCTCGCGGAGTGGCGTGTGTGGTACGTGCGCCGCTCGCCGCCCCTGCCCCCCGGCCTGGTCTGCGTGGGCATGTGGAAAGTCTGCATTTACCAGCCCAGCAGCTACTCCCAGAAAGACATCGCCTGCCACCTGTACAGGTACGCGGACCCCTCCCTGCCTGTGGATATCCGCGTGGCGCAGAGCCTCCTGCTGGCCGCCAGCGTCTTGGGCCTTCTGGGCAAAGCGTTCCTCGTGCTGGCGCTGAGGCGCGTGTGCGTGGGGAGCCTGCGGAAGGAGTCCACCCGGCGCCTCTTTCTCGCGGCCGGCGTCCAGCTCGTCAGCGCCAGCGCCTGCATCTCCGTGGCTGTGGTCTGCAACGCCAGCGCCGTGGGCAAGGCGGCGGGCGTAGCCTTCCCACCCTCCTTCGCCTTGCCCTTCCAGCCGGAGACGCAGGAGGTGGGGGGCGCCTCCATCGTGGCCACGCTGGCCGTCTCCCTGATGCTCTTGAGCGGGCTGCTTTCCCTCTCCTACACACTGCCCCCCGAGAGCCAAGTGCACCCTGTCATTTCGGAGGTATGACATGCCTGCTGGCGTGGGCCCCGCACACACGAGACCACCAGGCCTTCACGGGGCGCGTGACCGGGCTGCTGTATGAAACATTGCCAAGGGCTCAAGGCCACGGCCAAGTGGCCCTTCCCTCTGGGTGCGGATGGGGCTGGGCGTGGGCGAAGGCCCTCTGGTTCCAAAACATTAAAAAAAAAATCCCCAAAGACCGACCGCCCCCCTGTCTCACTGAACTTGAGTTGGAATTGTTGTCGAGTCAGTGCTACGAGTTTCGGAGAGCTGCACCCCTCCCCCTTCAGCTGTGGCTGAGAACGACGGGCCTGATTTCTCGTGGCGTGCCAGGGACATGTGTGGCTCCCAGAAAGTTTTCCAAACGGGCCCCAGCACGGCAGCATGAGGAACGCCCCCCGCATCCAGGACCAGACGCAACAACGACCAAGAGTCTGCCAGAGGCCCTTTCTCTCTCCTTTCTTCCCCTCCTTTACTCCATTTTCCTTTTTCCAAAGGGCTTTATGTGTTCAATCTTTTATTTTAGGTTTTAGAGAGGGGAACCTCGATGTGAGCGAGAAACATGGGTTGACTGTCTTCTGGAGGCACCCCGACGGGGCACCGAACCTGCCACCCAGCCTTGTAACCTGACTGGGAATGGAACCCTCAACCTTTAGGTTCACAGGAGAATACTCCGCCCACGGAGCCACACCGGCCGGGGCTTTCCAAAGGGCTTGGAAGCAAACTCCAGACCTCGTGTTTCTTCATCCCTATACACTTCAATATTCCTGTCTAAAAAAATGGACGTATCCTTGCGTAACCATATTATACCTTACAAATGAACAATTACTCTCCGTTATCATGACATACTTATCACAATTCTTACACGCCTCAACAGGCGCTCTACCGTGTTATTTGTTCACAGAAGGCGGCCCCCCTGCCTCTTAAGTCCTAAGCGCTCTGCCTACCACACCCACTTTCTTTTTGCGGGGGTGAGGACTGATTTGCAGAAGAAAATGAGTCAGTTGTCCTGTTTTTAAACTTAATACCTCTCAAGGTTTGATTAGATTAGGGTCAGCTCTTTGAGGAAGAGTCTTTCAAAGTCGCTGCCCTGTACCGAAGGGCATTATACTGATGGCATATGGTTAATTGTCCTTTTTGGCGATGCTAAAATCGGCAGGTGGATCCACCAGGGGACAGCCCAATCCCTCTTGTTTCTTGCGCGCGACGTCCACCGAACGGACCATCTACTGAATGATGTTCCTTGTGGGAATCAGTCATTGCTCTGAGGGTTACCGGTGGTTGGTTACCTTCTACGGTGAACACTCTTGTCCGGTTTACTAGCCGCTGGGAGGCTTTTGTAAAGAAAAACTTTTCCTCATCAGGTACGACTCCTTGGTTATTCTAAAATCCAGCCCATACAAGAAAAGGCAAAAGGTAAGTGCATTATCTCCCACCCTCAAATTGTGAAATTTCTAGCATAAGGAGGGAAAATGCCCTCGTTAACCTTGTTAACCTGTGGTGTCGGCCAATGTACTTACTTTTTATCAGTATAGAAATGCATTTGAATTCAAAATAATAGGTTCTATTTAGAATACTCACAGTTAGCTACAGCAAATACCATTCACTGGCTCTGAAACAGGGGTAAAGGTGTTACTCTTTTGAAGTCAAAAAGTGTATTATAAAATGTACAAGGGAAGAAAAATAGATAAAACAAGTTTGCTGAGTATTGGGAATTATTACTGGAGAGACACACTAAGATGCTGTAACAGAGTCCAAATGATAAAACATGCCGCAAGGAGTTGGCTCGCTTTATCAGTCCCCTGGAGGAGAACCCAGTAACCTTGGCAACACAGCAACCCCCGGGCTTGGGAAACAGGGCCAGCTCTCTTGACATGCGCACACAGTAATTCTCTACACTTCCCCTCTCTCTAGCTCCCTTCCTCACACTGATTTCTGGTTTTCTATCTCAGAGTGGTTTCATCCTGTCGAAAAATACTTGGTTTTATTTGTAAAGTGGAGTCAATAATAGCCCGATTGAGGTCAGGAACCATTTAGCTGAAGTTGCTTAAGGATCAAACTTTTGGAAAGGCTCAATCAACTAGTTAGCAGAAAGCATCAGAGGCTTGCAGGGAGGAAGAAAAATAAAACAGGTAATGCACATTTGCTAAAGAGATCAAAAGAACAAGCAGTTTAAAATGGACACAAAGGTGCCTGGCCCATTGGCTCGGTTGGTTAGAGCATCTTCCTGATACGCCAAGGTTGTGGGTTCAATTCCTGGTCAGGACACATACAAGAATCGACTAACGATGCATCCATAAGTGGAATCACAAATCTCTCTCAAAAAAATAAAATAAAGCTCTGCAACTACCTCCTGTCCTTAGAGCAAAGATCCTCAACGGGGGCCACTCTGTTCCCCAGGGAACATTCAGCAACGTCCGCGGACATTTTTGTTGCCACACCTGGGAAGGCAGGGGTGGATCAGGTGGACAGAGAGCGGGTTTGCTGTTCAACAGCCACAGCGCACAGGACAGCCCCCTAGACCCCCCACAAAGGATTACGCTGTCTCATTGTCACCAGGGCTGAGGAGGAGGAGCTTGGAGCTGCCACCTGGGATGGACGAGGAGGACTATTGGTCATAGACACCAGAGAAAGTGATGGAAACCAATCAATGCAGCTCCCACCGGCAGGTCCGCCTATTGAGTATATTTGACGTTTTTCTACAGTGGGGGAGGGGGAGTAAACGTGCTTGACTGCAGACTGGGCAAAAACAGTCAATATTTTTGTGCGGATCATGCTAAGTTTATTTTAACAGGCAAAAGTGACATAATAGTGGTTGGCCCTTCTGGAAGAACATGGTATATGCCTTGCCTTTTATTCGTTTTTAAATGTGTTCTGAGGAATGTCTCAAGGAGGTTTCTTTGCATTGGGTTTGGGTCATCCCCAGAATGGGGACACTATGAATAAAGTTACTGTACACAGTGCGCTGGGACGTAGGGAGGAGTGCAAATTGTCATTACGTGCACTTGGACTTAGGCATGAATGCAAATTGTCACCTCTCTGGATACGGCGGAGTAGGGTTGCTAGGGCGCGTGGTCAGTCATTCCCAGACCTTCAGCCCATATTTACTCATTCCACTCAGCATCTATAGTTGTGTGTGGCTGCTGGTGGTATTCCTTCCCTTTCAGGGGTTATCAACACAACAGTTAAGACAATTTTTGCAGAATCCGTATTAGAAGCACAGGTCTTGATGCAAATCTCGGTCACTGCTCCCGGAACCCCGTGCACTACGGATGTCCTCGTGTGGGGGGAGAATGGCATTTTCTCTCAGATTTCACGGGTGGTCCAACTCACTTCTGATGCCCTCAATGGATTACATTCCAAAATCAATGTCTCAGGAGAGACAACCACCAGCTGCTTCACTCGCCGATGGCCTCTTTCAGCAAATGTTAATTGGACGTCTTTCACGTGAGACGTGCCTCTCAAAATGTTCGATTGAGAACTTTGGGGGCATGGCATATACAGGTCACAACCCTCTACCGGATGGCTCACGGCTCTTCCGGTGTTGAAAAGGGACTCCCTCCAAACTAAACAGATGATGGGGGCGGCGGGGAGGGAGTTTTTCGTAGGTTAAAATTAGACACACTCCCTTCAGTCCCTGAGTCACACACGGAGGGGCATGTGGAGCTCCCAGGAGGGAAACCGGAGGGCTGACCCGAAGTGCCCTTCTCAAAACACATTCCGGTTTGTGAGAGCACAGTGTTTGAAAACAATTTTCCCCATGACATAAGTCTATCAGCTGTTTTATTTATTTTTAGAGAGAAGGGAAGGGAGGGAGAAAGAGGGAGAGAAGCATCGATGTGTGAGAGAGACTTCGGTCAGTTGCCTCTCGCACGCCCCCAGCTGGGGACCTGGCCCACAACCCAGGCATGGGCCCTGACTGGGAATCGAACCGGCAACATTTTGGTTCACAGGCTGGTGCTCAAGCCACTGAGCCACGCCAGCCGGGGGTTAGTCTATCAGCTACTTAAATAGGTGTTTTCCAAACACTGCCCAGGGTCCCAGGTGGGCTGGGTACTCTGCTAGAATGTTCAGCAGAGTCTTTGCCTCTTTGGGGTTTACATTCTTTTTTTAATTGAGTTTATTGGGGCGCATTGGTTCACAAAACCGTACCGGTTTCACGCGTACAACTCAACGAGACATCATCTGCACACTGCATCATGTGTCCGGCGCCCTGAGCGGTCTCTTTCCGTCCCTGTTTATCTGCCTTTGCCCACCGGCACCCACCTCGCTTTCCCTCTGTGTCTGTGGGTGATGTATATGTGCTTTCTGGCTATCCCCTTCCCCTTCTTTCACCCCATCCTCCGTCTCCTCTCCCCTCTGACAGCTGTCAATTTGTTCCCTGTGTCCATGCCTCTGTTGGTATTTTGTTCCTCAGTTTATTTCGTTCATAAGATTCCACATATGAGCGAGAGCATATGGTATTTGTCTTTTTCTAACTGGCTCATTTCACTTCGCATAAGGCCCTCCAGATCCATCCGTGCTGGCGTAAAAGGTAAGATTTCTGTCTTTTTTATGGCCAAGTAGTGCTCCATGGTGTAAAGGTACCCCAGCTTTTCTATCCACTCACTCACTGACAGGCACTTGGCCTGTTCGCAGATCGTGGCTATTGTAAATAACGCTGCAATGAGCCAATTTGCAGGCAACCGATTCTTCCTCTCAGGTGGAGATTTTGTAAAATTGTGAGGGCATTCTTTACGAAAGGGCCTCTCCCCGCTGGCCGTTATTTGCATAATGGCCTTAGCACTGGGAGGAAATCCCATGCTTTTGCAGTTGGTTAGAGACCCTGGCTTCCTTTGCGTGTGTGTGAAGGAGCTGCATGGCCTCTGAGTCCCGTCTGGGCCTGCAGGGCTGGCCTTGGACCGAGTCTCACCCATTCTCGGTGCAATGACAAGAATGGCTTGTGGGAATGGTTCTTAGGTAAACATCTTGTTTCCTCCAATGAAATCTTGCCCGATAGTAGGTCA